TTTTAGCTGTTCCCTAATGGATAGCAGATATCTGTCCTCCTCACCACATTTCCTTTAGAGCTTTCTTGGGTTGTTTGTGCTAAGTGGGTCTTAGAATCTTCTTCACTGCGTTCTGCAGCCTGGGTCTGAGAGACCAAGTTCTTGCCTGTGTTCTCAGGTTGACTCAACAACACTTCGCTAATCAAAGGCTCAACTTTAACACTAGAAGTAGAAATGGTTGATAATACTTGGCACCACATTTTTAAATGTAAACTTCACAGAAGCAAAGTTACGAGGAGGTCGAAAAGAAGATACACATAACAGCAAAACTGATCTCTAGAAGGTCAAATCCAACTTACAGCCCAGGAGAGAAGACAGAGGTGCTCTATACTGGTCCATGTGTCCATGTTTACATCTTAAACATGGAATCCCAGAGGCAATATTTTCACTCCATTCACATACTTTACCCTCTCCTGCCAAGATGTGTTGACATTCCAAAAAACAGAAGGGAAAGTTGGATTTTCTTAGATAATTGATATTTTAAAGCCTCTTGTTTCTTTCATCCATCCAAATTCCTTGAGACAACTTTTTTAGCTTGTTGTCCTGAATATTAGCCCTTTAGAGGCCAGCATAGCATCTGAAGGGATCAAGCACCAACATTCTTACTTATGTATGACACTGGTCCAGCTTGAGTTTGGAACCTATTTAGTGAAAGACTCAACTCTGTTCAAGAAGAGAATACACAAAAGCTCTGCCCGGTGGCCAGATACCCTCACTAATACCCCCCACCCTCAGCCACTTCTTATCAATGGGGACTCATCCTCACTTTGGCTATTCTATGGGACACCCTCTCTCCACATGCCAGAAGGTACTAGTGCCAGCTTAGTACTTCGATACAGATAAGGAGAGCATAGCATGGAGTTCTTCTAGCCATTGTCATGATACTGGGAAAGAAAAGACGAAGCTAGAGAAGGTATAGAGAATAGCAGTTGATAAAATTAAAGTGATTTGCGATATTTGGATAGAACAGACCTCTTTCTCTGGTAAGATTATGATATATGTAAACCCAAAAGTGGATGCTGGAGAGAGCAAGGATTTTTCTCCCAGATATATTGCTAAAATCAGGAGGCAACTGAGAAGCTTTAAAGAAAAGAAGTTTTTCAGCCTGCTTATAGGTATAAGTGGCCTAAGAATTAACCCTCTCACTGGGGCATTTTACCAAGTTCCTTTTGTTACAGAAACTGAGACACAGCTAGTCACAGCTAGCCTTGGACTTAGGAAAAGGAGGGATTTGTCACACCATCTAGTGAGATATCAATTTACATATACACACATATATTTTTATTGGTTCTTTCTAATTATATATGACAACAGAATTCATTTCGACACAATTATAAAAGCATGGAATATAAGTTGTTCTAATTTAGTCCCCAGTACATCCCTTTCATCCTCCCACCCCATTCCCTTCCTCTATTCTTCTAATCTTTCTGCTATTACTTATACTTGTTTTCTTTTAAATTAGTAACTTATGGATATACATGGTGAGATTCACTGTGGTATATTCATATATGAACATAGGAATGTTAGGTCAGATTCATTCCACTGTCTAATGGATTCCATAAAATCGCTGAAGAGGTCATTAGAAAACTCAGTGTGGATCTGGCTAAGAATTGCCTTTTGAAACCTTTGTGTGGAAAGAGAACACTGTGTGCATAGAGGCTGATAAACATCTGGAAATGACTGCTCCCTGGTGGTATCACCTCCTTAAGCAGGTTCCCAAGGGACAGGAATACAGAATGGCAGCCTGCAGAGACCTTCTAGCCATAGTGGCACTTTCTGGGGACTGAGAATTTTCTGTCCATTGTTAGAAAATATTGGCTTTCTATAGAGTTAAGAAGAATGTGAGATTATTTACCAAAGAGAAAAACTTCTGGGCATTTATCTAGGCCATTGAATAGCCACAGGAGATGAGAGGTCCTGAGAATAGAAATACAGATTTTTCATATATTTTTAAAGGTATTATTTGAGTCTATGTGACTTCTTCCATTATGACTATGTATAGAGACTGAACATAAATACCTGAGATTTGCCAAGGTTTAAACTTTATTATATAGATGTACGTAATGCAGTATAATATGCACAGATTAATGAAGGAATAATTAAATGAACAGACATAAACCCACGGACTGAGGAATAGAACATTGCCAATACTTTTGCTCACCCTAAATGGTTTTCACATTTCCTCTTAGTTCAAGAGGAAAATACTGTATTAAATTTTATTTATATTGTGATATATATGTAGGATGATATAGATTTAGATTTTGTCTTTTTCTGTTTCTCTTAGTTCTTTGACTTTTTTTCCAGTCAGTGTTGATTATAGTACTTGACAATATAGATGAATAGAACACTGTGATTTGGATATTTTCATTGCTATATAATATTCCTTTGCATTAATATATAACAAACTAACATTCTTATGCTGATGACAGTCAAGTTGGTATTAGTTTTTGTGGTTATGTTAATATCATAGAGAAGATTTTTATATACATCTCTTGGTTCACATGTACAATTGTTTCTCTAGGACATAATCTTGATAGAGATAAGGTATACATATGTTCAACTTTTCTAGGTATCGACAAGGTCATTTATACAGTGGCTATATATATCAGTTTGTAAATTGATCCTCCCATTGGTGAAATGTGGCACTTCCTACTGCTCCACTTGCACGTGTCATACTGATTCACATGTATGTATGTACATGCATGTAAAATGATGTATTATTGGTATTTCCTTGGTTGCCCAGGTTAATCATCTTTTCGTGCTTATTAGTCATTGTTTCCTTTCTTGTGGGAGTGCTTGTTCAGCACTATCTTCTATCATTTTCTTTTTTATACTGATTCACATATGCTTGTTTTATACTCTAGATTCAATCCTTTGTTATTATGTGTATTGCAAACATCATCTTTGGGTAACTTAAGTAACACACATTTACTTTCCTGGATGCTGAAAAGTCCAAGATCAAATTCTGGCAAATTCATCTCTGGGTAGGCCTCTCTTCCTTACTTGTCTTCTCACTGTGTTCTCACATGGTAGAAAGAGAGAGAAAGCAAGCTTTAGTGTCTTTTCCTCTTCTTACAGGAATACTAATCCCAACATGGAGCCTCAAACTCATGGCCTTATCTAAATCTAATTGTTGCCTAAAGGCTCCATCTCCATATACCCTCTCATTGGAGATTAGGGCTTCAACATAAGGGGACGGGGACACAGATATTCAGCCTATAATGTATCCATATTTCTTTTTCTAAATGGGTAAATAATTTTCTGGCATATTTTCCCAATTATATGTGCATGCTCTGTCCTATATAGATTTCCACATATAAAGAATCTATTCTGGATTCTTTTTCTATCCATTGTTCTATTTGACTATCTCTATAAATAGCACAAATTGCAGATTACTATTGTTTTAGAAAAAGGTCGTAATATCTAGAAGAGCAAATCACTAGCCTTTTCCTTTAGTTCAATGTTGACTGATACTTGATTGTTATTATCCATTTTAAAGTTGCATTAAGCAAATTTTTTTGCCAGTGTTTGTTTGGACTTGTCTATAAGGTAGTTTAGGGAAATTTCACATTTCTTGTGATATTGAGTCTCTCTATTAATGATCACAGTGTATCTCTTTCTTTGTTTAGTTGTTCTTTAAAGTCTTTTGTTTCAGCCTTTTAATTTTGTACATGAGAATCTTGTAGGTCTTTTGTTAGACTTATTGATGTGTACCTAATTTTTTATTATTTTAAATGTTAGATTTTCTAAAATTGCACCTTCTAACTATTGCTAGTATACAGTTGAAATTTTGCATATTTGTCTTTTGTTTGGCAATCTTATAAAACTTATTAATTCTTATAGTTTTAGACTTCTTAATTTTTTTGTAAATAATCAGTTATGTGTGAATTACAATAGTTTTGTTTGTTGCTTTCTAATCTGTAACTTTTATTTTTCTATTGTTATTTAATATACAGATTAGAATTTCTGTACAATGCTAAGTAATAAACATGAAAGCAGGCATGCTTGACTTCTTCCTCATTTTAGATGAAATGTCTTCACATTTCCATAGAGTATGATTTGGTTATAGATATTTTGTGGATGTCTTCCTCATATTAAGGATGTATCAATCTATTCCTTATTAAGACCTTTTATCAAAAATAGTTGTCTTATTAAATTTCATGATTTTGTGAGTTCCCTCCTTTGATCTGCTATTTTGGTCAATTATGTTAATCAGTTTTCTAATTTTGGGCCTATCTTATATTTCTAGAATGATACAGATTTGCTTTGATACATTGCCTTTTTTATATACTGCTGAGTTTGGTTTGCCAATGTTTCATTTTGTATTTGTGTGCAGGAGTGCATTTAATTTATGGTATCACACTGTCCTTCTTTGGTTTGGAATCATGGTAATTTTTGCTTTATAAAGTTTGTTGAGATATTATTTTGCATGCCTTCCCAGTATGCCTTCTCAGTGTCCTTGGAGACTTAAGAGTTTTTACCCTGACTTCACTTTATTTACACTGAAAGAACTCTTTCAGTGTCTGGCTTCTGCTTAGCTTCTGACGGTAAGATAGGGAGGGAAATGAAATTGAGATATTTATTTCCCTATTTCATAAGCTGGCAATAGCCTTTAGCTGAAAGCTATAGTTACTGAATATGTCTTTATTTTGTTGTTATTATTATTATTAGATTAT